TTCTTTAAAATTTAATCCTCCAAAAGGATGTCAACATTCTGTTTCTGAATGGACAAATTTTGCTGAAGAAAAACTTTTCGAGTTTTTTTTCTGTGAAAGATTAAAAAAAAATTTTTTTATAAAGTGAATTAAAACGTCAACCAATTTATGAAACTTTGAGTGGAGAACAAATAAATTTTAATGAAAGAGGCGATAGAAAGGGAATGACATATGAAATATTAAATGCTAAAGAATTTGGTGGACCTCTTGTAGTTGTTGGAAATTTAAATGGACGGGGAGATTTAATTTTGGATGATAGAGCAATTATTTGGCCTGGAGGATTGAGAAGAAAACCCTCAGAATTAACACTTCCAAAACATTTAAGAGTTACTTTAGTTGTTGATCCGCCTTTTGTATATGCATTTAAAGGTAAATAGAGACTAAAAATATTTGGATTATATAAAGTTGAATATCGATATCACTCTCTTTTTTCCCATTACCTATTTACATTCGTATTGGTCCCGAGGCTAATATCTTATCGAAATTCAACTGTGGTTAATAATAAACTTCATTATTTTGACATAACTCTGTTATATATTCTTATAACCTGTGCTTGACTGTTTTGTAGCTCCAACTCCGATCAGAGCTGGACAAAGACTCAATTTTATACATTTATAAGGAAGGGAGATCCCTGAATAGAGGAATCCTTGCTATATATCCATTTTTAATTTTTGTAGTTGATGAATATTCAAGATGTTCCAAACTTCAATTTCTAAATAATCCAACAATAAATGTTGAAGGTTTTCAAGTAGTTAGTCAAATTATTTTTTAAAAACATTAAAATTATTTAATTTTTAAAGTCAGGTCCTTGGTTTCCTTGTGAAAAATTAGAAAATAATAAAAAAGAATTTTATTGTTGTAGTGGAATGGCTGTAGAATTATTGTTTCTTATATCAGAAGGTTCTAAAAGAATTAATGGAGAAGAGAAAGAGGAAAAAGAAGAAGAAGAATTAATAGTAGCAGATAATAGCTTTAGTTTTGAATTAAAATTAAATGATTCTTATGGGGCTGTTTTGCTTGGGGAACAAGAAGGAGAAGGATTTAAATTAACTGGAATGGTTTTAAAAATTAATTTAATTTAAAATATTTTCTTTAAAAAGATTGGAGAATTAGATGCAGATAGGGCAGATATGGCTATTGGGGTTTTGAAGAAAATTTAAAAAAAAATTATTCTCATTTAAAGGCTTTAAGTATTAATCCAGAACGGGACCGTTTTATCGACTTTAGCGAGCCCTGGTTATATCATGGAATTCAAATACTTGAACGTTGGGTAATTAATTTAATAAATATTTAATTTAAATTTATTAAATTCTCAAAAAAATTAATTAATTTTCGCGGCCACAGCGTCCAAAACGTTCTCCAATGGAATCATTTTTACAACCTTTAAAGAATTCTTTATGGCTTTCTTTGGTTATTGCTGTGTTTTTAGTTGCTTTTGTTGTTTATTTTTTGGATTTAAAATCTCCATTTGAACGTTTTTATTCTTCTGGACAAGATCCTTTATTTGAAAAAGCCGAACAAGAAGAAAGGGTTTCTATTGGAGAAGTATGTATAGATTAATTAATTAAATCTTTAAAAGTTATTTTTTAGTCTTTATGGTTTTCTTGGGGTGTTCTTTTAAATTCTGGTGTTTGTGAAAGTAAATAAATTGTAAATTAATATTTAAATATATTTTCTTAAAGAAACTCCGAGAAGTTTTAGTGCTCGAGTTTTAGGATTAGCTTGGTGTGGATTTTGCATGGTTAATAAATAAATTTATTTATATATTTATTTAAAAAAAGATAATGGTAGCCTCCTATACAGCTAATTTGGCTGCTTTTCTTGTTCTTGATCAACCAGAACGTTCACTTTCTGGAGTTAATGATCCAAGGCTTCGAAATCCTTCTGCAAATTTTAGTTTAGCAACAATTACACATTCAGCTACTTATCAATATTTTAAAAGACACGTAGAGTTGTCTACAGTTTTTAGAAAAATGGAAGCAAATAATCAACCAAATGCCCGTTCTGCTATTCAGGCTTTGTTAAATGGGTAGAGGAGACTTTTATTGTAGTCATCGAAAGATTAAAATAATTACTCAAAGTAATTAATAGTAGTAGAGCATTTATGGTATAGTGTAATTGGACAAAAATTGTTGAAAATTGAAAGTTCAAAATTTCCTACAGAGAAGTAATTTCCATTCTTTTTAGTTCAATAAGCGCTTTTGTTTGGGATTCAGTACGTCTCGAATTTGAAGCAGCTAATAATTGTGAATTACGTACTCGTGGGGCCCTTTTTGGCCGTTCAGCATATGGAATTGGACTTAGAAAAGGAAGTGCTTGGACTCCACATATTAGTCAAGCAATTTTACGTTTATCAGAAAGTTTGAAAAAAAATAAAATATTTCCCCCCAAAAAAATATTTAAATTCAGATGGAACTTTGGAACGTTTAGAACAAAAATGGATACGTTCCCCAAATAAAAATTTCCGTCCCTGCTTTCATTTTGAACCAAAAGCTCCTGCACGTCTTGGACTTAGATCAATGAGAGATGGCCTTGTTCTTGTCGCCTCTGGTATTTTATTGGGTGCTGGAATGAGTATATTGGAAAGAAAAAGGGGGAAAAGTTTACAAAAACAAAAGTAAAAAAATAAAAAAATAAATTTATTTTAAAAAAATATTTTTAAAAGAAAAAGGCAACAATTAGCCCGTCAATATGCTGCAAAATGGTTAAAATTATCAAAGAGGAAAAGGGAAGGGACAGATTCATTATTATTGAGATTATCTGCTGCATTATGTGATGAAAAAAGGAAACAAAAAGAGGAAAAGATAAATAAAACAATTTTTATTAAAACAACGCCAATGTTTGTTCCAGAATTAAATTTTGGAACAAAACCATGCAATGTTTATTGCCCTCGTTGTCATGTATGCTAAATAATTTTTATTTAAAAAAATTTATTTTTTTAAAGCATTTTATTCAAACAATTACAAAACCAATTTTTGGTCGTTTTGCTTTAATATGTTCATTTATTTGTATTTTTTTACTTCTTTTCCCTTGTGCATTAGCTCCTATTTTCTTAACTTGTTTTGCAGATTATGAACATTTTTGTTCAAATGAAGAATGTAAACATAAAATTGGAAGGTGTAGACGCTGTTTTAAACCAAAATTTTTTGTTTAATTTTCTTAATTAAAATGTTTTCAAAAAAAATTCTTTTTATTTTTCACAAATTACAAAAATAAAATTTTTAAAATTTAACAAAATAAATAAAAAATTGAGAAAAATTACGTCCGAATAATAACTCTGGGAACATCAAAATCTTCGGCATTCTAAAAAAAGAAAAATTGAGTATTTTAATTTAAATTTGCTTATATTTTTTAAGGAATGATGGGTAAAATAAAATTGGGAGAATTGTGTTCTCCCAAGGAGGCCAAAAAATAACTTTTGTATTTTTATTCCAAATTTTTAAAAAAATTAAAAAATTATTTCTCACAATTTTGGCAAGATAAACATCAAAAACTTCGCCCATAATTTCTCTTGCAACAATCGGACCCGCATGAGTTTCAATAAACCAAAAAAGGAGAATCTATAAATTTAAAAAAATCTTTAAATTAATTTTTAAAAATTACCCCATCATTAATAATTGATTTTTTGGCAAACAATTTAATTAATTTGTAATGAAGTTTATTAGAAGAATACATAATTTGATCAAAACGATTCTTTAAAAAAATTAATTTAAAAAATATTTTTATTTAATTCTCTACCTGCTTTAACAAATGCCTGACAGTATTTTCTCTTGTAAAAGGAAGGCAGGCAAATGCAATTACATAATACAAAAAATTCAAAAAAGTTAAAATAGCCACAAACAAGAATCCCCACCTTAAAATTTTTTAATTAAAAAATTATTTTTAAAAAATTATCCAACCAAATAAAAAGGTAAATCTTTTCATTGTATGTATTTATTCGAAGATGGCATTGAAGTGTGTAGCGAGTAGAACGTTCAACATCTCCCAAACGACGGATAGAGACATCACAAAGCGTTAAACGTGGAAATGTTGGGGAATCCTTTTAAAAGATTTTTTTAATTTTTAAAAATATCTTTTCTCTTTACCTGCCAATTTTTACCAGTAACTAAAGATCTCAAAACATCAAATCCCCACCAGCCATAATTGTGGCCAATAAAAAAGTTAAGAAGGCAGAATTGGACAAAGACGTTGAGCAAATATAACAATTTGATAAATATATACAAACACTTCAAATTAAAACACATAATTTTTTTTAATATTTGTTAATTAATTTAATTATTTTTTGTAAAAAACAAAAAATTAAGATTTTAAAATGAATATTATTCTACTGTAATTTATTCCCCACTTTACCCCTACTTATTTGTTCTCTTCTTTCAATTTCCCTTTTTAACTGAAAAAATCTTCTAAAATAAATTAATTCGTTATTTTTAATTTAAATTAGAGCTGGAAACAATGAATTAAAAAATCTCTCACCGTAACAAAAGAACCAGAGCCGATAGAAAAAGCAGGAATTTTTGTCCGAAAATAATTTTTCCGATTTATAACAGTCTGAAAATTGAATTAAAAATAAAAAAAAACATTAATAAAAACCTCCCCGATTCTTTCCCCCAAAGTTCTCAAAAGAGTTGGCCTTTCAGCATCATTTAACTTCATCTTCTTTAATCTGTTGCACTCTTTAAGAAATTTGATAAATTCGATGCCTGTTAATATTTAAACAATTAAATGGGTTAATTAAAATAAATAGAATTTGAACATATACGAGAGAATAATGAGGGCACACAAAAATGGGAGAAACTTTTGTGGTTTTACGTAATGGAATTAAATCATTTACCGCTATGCTGGTGAAATCCATTCCATAAAAAGTTCGGCAACATAAAAAGCATTGATTGGAGGAATAACATGATAGGCACCCACTAAAATGAAAAAATAAAGATAAAATAAAGCTCACGATAGAGCTTTATGAGTTAAAAAATTTTTCTAAAAATAATATTTTTCTAAACAAACATGATAGTATCCAATTTGACGTTCTCTTCGCCCCTCATTTGACCATGGAATATTTTGCTCCGGCGGAACATAGTAGGTATTCTTTGACTGACAGTAATCTAAAGCAAATTCACGTTCATCCTCATCCAAATCAGGCGTTTTCTTAATTTTAAAATAACTTTAACTTTTAAATAAAAATATACCAAACAACGCATTGGCTCCATCCCAAAAGAACCAAAACTTAAATACAAATACAATTAAGTTTAACAACAAATTAACAAACATATTTGCAGTAACTGACATAACACAAAATAAAAGTAAAATAGGAACAATTTGACAATTAATTCTGTCGATGATATCCGAAAAATTTGCTTTAGGCCGTTCAAACCATGACAAAAATGTTTTGCCTAAAATATAAGTATAATAAAAATAAATTAATTTAAAACCTAAAAGGGGTTGATTCTGCCCAAAGAAAGGAAGATTGTGAACGCCATTTATAACAGTGCCTCTTAAAATAATTAAAATGAAAATTTTTTAACAATTAAAAGTAACTCACGAATTGGGCCAAGAAGAATTTGATGAACTCCAATTACCATTACTATAAGACATTTTAAAGTTAAAGGTATTTCGAATAAATTTGGTTAAAAAATGAAAAATATGTGAAGATATAAATCAAAAAAGAAAGCTAAATAAAAAAAGGTTTTGATTAAAAATTAAAATTCAATTAAAGAAGTTCAACAATTCAACGAACACAATGAAAAAATAAAGGTATCGTCACTTCATATTTTAAATGTCAGCCATAAAAACTCACTTTGGCATTAAAATAAACTTTGGCATTATGTTAAAATTTTTGGCGCGAGGTTTGGTTGCGAGAAGTTCGGCGCGACCGTTCTGGCGTTAGGATAAATTGGTGTAAGGTCGCAATATTTGTACCGGATTGTATTTTTTACAGTTTCTTTGAAGTAGTATGGTTCTACTGTGTCGCCACGCGATTCTATCAATCTTTCATTTTCGCTTTGCTATATTGTTTTTTAATTTTATACTTTAGATTTTCTATTTTTTCATTGAATAATGGGGAAATTGTCCGAAAATACACAAGCTGAAGAAGTACCAGAAAACGGTGCAAATCTTGAGATCATGAAAGAACCTGTGACAGAAAAAGAGGAATATTTATCTCTTTGTCAACTTGTCAATCCAATTTCACAACCTCTCGCGTCTAGAAAATTGGCTAAAAAACTTTATAAGTTGGTGAAGAAATCAGCTAAAGAAAAGGGATCTTTACGGCATGGTCTTTCTGATGTTATGAAGGCTATTAGAAAGAATGAGAAGGGTATACTTATACTTGCAGGTTATTTTCTAAATTTTGAATTCACTTTAACATATTAAGGCTGACATTATTCACTGTAAAAATATTAAATAAATTAATGTCTGACCATTATGAGCCATTAAGTTTGACTATTAATTTCACTGTTCATTCGGGAATATTAATTTTTTCGCCCCTTAAAATTCCCATGATATTTTTTAATGGAACAATAAATTTTTTTAAAAATGGTCCACTGTTTCGCTTCCATGCTCGTTGTGAACTCCTGAATCTTATCCAATGGGATTACTCTCATATTCAATTTAAAATTAATTTAAATTTTTTAAGGAAATGTTTCGCCAATTGATGTATACAGTCACGTTCCAGCACTCTGTGAGGAAAAGGTTTACTAAAATCTAAAGAAATATTTGTTAATTATCACATTTCTAGGAAATTCCGTATGTTTTTACACCTTCCAGAGAGCATTTGGGACTCTGTGCAGGCAATTTTAATTTTTAAAGATAATTTTTCAATATTTTTTCAGGGTACAAGCGTCCAGCAATTGTTTTAATGGTTAAGAAGCATGAATCTTACAGTGAACTTTATGACGATGTTTATTCTCTTGTTAATTCTCTCGTAGTCGAGCCAGTAAATTCGTGAATTTTTTTAATGTTTTGTTTTTGAAATAAATTGTTTTTGTTTTTTAAATCTTTAATTTTATGATGCCCAAATCCATTGAAATATTTTTAATTATTTTATTAAATATTTACTAATCGTTAAGACTTGAGTTTAGTTATGCGCGAACCAGATGAATGTTCAGAATCTAATGTGAGTTTTGGTTCTATATTGCTCGGTGATTTTTTCATTTTAGCGTGGACGTAGCGGGCTTGTTGTACAGATACCTGAAGAACCTTCTGAGCTGGTTTCAGTGAAGGTTTTTATTAAGACCGTAAGTATTTACTTTTGGGCTTTTATTTTTCTAGCAAATATAAAGTTATCTAATTCTTATAATTTAGTCCAATTGTCCAAAACGTGTTGAACTTTGTAGTGGTTGCTCGAATAAAATAAAACAATTCCTTTGCGGTGAATCTCCAGACAACGATCTTAATGAAGAACTTAATGCGTCATTTTGTAATTCGGATCAAAATCATGTCAATGAACGAGTAACTACTAATTCACCTTTAGAAGGAGTAAATGGAGTTTTAAACGGGACTGATTCTTTAAAGGATAACAACAATGAACAAAATTCTATTGAGGACATAAATTCTAATGAAGTTGTTAATGAAACTCAAGGTTTGTTTACAATAATTTTTTTATTTTATTATAAATTAACAGAATTTACTAATTGTGATGGTTGTTTGGTTTCTGATGTGGAAGTTGACTCAATAAATAATTTTGTTGAAACTGAAACAAATAATTTGTTAGAAGAAATTGACCTTGCAAATTCGCCTATTCAAATAACAACATGTGTCCCACCAGCTCTTTCAACGAATGAGGTCAATAACGAACATCAGAAAAATCCAAATAATGAAATTAATATTGATTATGGACACTCTACTTCTATGGAGATTGATAAAATTTTGGACATAGATGGTGGTGTTAGTGAAATTATTTCAAATAATTTAATGAAAGATATAAGCATTGACGGAGCGTTTGAAAATCTTAACTCGGCAATAAGTACCATTAAAGAGCAACAAATAAAAATAATCAATGAAGCTGATGAAGAAGCGATAGAGAAGTGTGGAATGCGGAATTGCGAAGTGATAATTAAAAATTCTGATTTTGATCGGCTTGCAAAAATTATAGAGAGTGTAAGTAATTTTATCCGCTTTATCGCTTTATATATTTTGAACATCAGACTAGTTAATCTTTTGCATTTTCTCTGTCAAAAAATTTTTTAATTTAGGGTCAAAGGCGAAAGAACATTATTAATAGCTCTGTAGAGGATGACGATATCAACGCCGAGTTAGACAGACAAATAAGGAAGGTGGATAATCTTTTACGTGGAGGAAATCGTAAATCAAGGAAGAATGATATCCCTTCCCCTAAAGTTTATGATACTGAATGTGAGGATAGTGAGCACGTAAATGATGAGAACGAAAATCAATCTAGTGCTGCTTCGTTTGTATCAGATTCTCAGAAACCAAAAAATTCTGTTCTAAGAAAGCGTGTAAGTATTTACAAATTATCTAAAGTAAAATATTTTGTAATTTAGAATTTGAGATCACTCCTTGCTAAACAATCAAAAAATTCGAGCGAAAATGGAAGCAATGCAAGTAGTGATTGGCTTTCAAAGAATAATGCTGAAAAAAGTGAGGCTTCTACTGAGAGTCCTGACGAAAGTGATTCTGACACAGATGATACTTTTGTTGAAGCACCGAAGTTGACGCCAGCTCAACGACAGGCTGACGCGGTTAGTTTTAAATGCGAATTTATATTTTTTCAATTTCTCGAGTAAACTTGATATTAATTTTTCTTCTTAAGGAAGTGAGACGTTTACTTCGTGATACTCGCGTTAAAATTTCTGATAGTGATGATTCTGATGCTACTGTAATAAAAACTGATGGAGATGATTCTGATAGCGACTCAGAAAGAAAGAATCGAAGAGCTAAATCCAAAAGGTACATATATTTTACTTCCTTTATCGTTATAATCAAAAAACTTATTATTATAGACTGAAACTCAAGGATCCTAATTCTGATGAAAATAACGTTTCAAATAAACCGTCCTCTTCTAAAATAATTTCACCAGACGAACCAAAAAAACGAATGACTGCCAAAAAAGTTAAATAAATTTTGACTATAATAATTTAAAAAATTTACATTTCAGTCTCATATAGGCAAAAATCGCAAAGGCACAAATTTGGACGGTCCAAATAGGAAGAAAAGGCGGATTATTTATTCTGACGATGATGGAGATGTTCATTCATTAGATGGAGACGAAAATAACAAAATTAGTGATGAGGAGAATTTTCCAAAACAAGTAGGCCGAAGAAAAGTTATTCCGAAGGAAAAATTGGCTCAAGCGACTAAGGACGCGGAGAAAGCTGAAAAGGAGCGACGAAAGCGGTTAGAGGAGAAACAGCGCGAGTTCAATGGGATTGAAATGATCATTGATGAGTCTGGCAATACATCTCTAATCAGTATAGTTATTTTATATTCTTATAATTAGGATGGAGAGAAAATTTTTTGAAAATAGAACGACCATCAAAAATTTAATTTTAAACTTAAAGATGAACAATCTGTTACCAAATTGAAAAATATCATTTTGGACCGAGACAGTGAGAGTGAAGCACCAATTCCCGTTCGAGTACATCCATTTCTCGTCAAAGTGTTAAAGAAACATCAGGCTGAAGGAATTCAATTCCTCTATAATTGTACAATAGAATCACTTTCTAGATTGGATGAACCTGGTGGTGGAGGTAAAAGAATTTTTTACTACTTTAATTTTTCATTTTATAAATTTATAGCAATACTTGGTCATTGTCGCACATAAAATACATGTTTACATAAAGAGAAATTTTGGATTTAAAGAATTTATTTTTTAGATTCAAGCACATATAACTCTAAATTTGGGTTCTAAATCACTTGAAGAATTGAAAAATAATTTACTCGAAGAATTAACAGAATACACAGCAAATACTGTGCTTTTATGTGCAAAGTAAAAATAATTAAAATCTTTTAGGGGTTTTTCTGTTAATCCAAAGTTTATTCTACACAAAAAGAATTATTTGTTGAATATGTCTCGACCATTCTACAAAAAAGACCCAAAAACACTTCTGAATCCTCCCCTTCCCACTAACTTTTGGAGATGTACTTACTTTATAAAACAGAAAATAACCTTTTTTAGCATTTAAAAAATATTTCTCTTTTACTATTTCAAAGGCAATCAGATTCTGAAATAATATTTAATGTTTCTACTAAATTTACTGGAGCTGGACGTGTTTGGCTTCTTTCAGAAGCTGCTAGTAACGCAAAAAATATTCCAAAAGGGGCATTAAGTATTCGACTTAAACAATCAATGATTTCTTCTTTAAGAGATGGTTTGGCTGTTGCTAAAGCTGGAATTAAATCATTTAAACAAAATAATTCTTTAAAATTTAATCCTCCAAAGGGATGTCAACATTCTGTTTCTGAATGGACAAATTTTGCTGAGGAAAAACTTTTCGAGTTTTTTTCTGTGAAAGATTTAAAAAAAATTTTTTTAATAAAGTGAATTAAAACGACAACCAATTTATGAAACTTTGAGTGGAGAACAAATAAATTTTAATGAAAGAGGCGATAGAAAGGGAATGACATATGAAATATTAAATGCTAAAGAGTTTGTTGGACCTCTTGTAGTTGTTGGAAATTTAAATGGACGTGGAGAATTAATTTTGGATGATAGGGCAATTATTTGGCCTGGGGGATTGAGAAGAAAACCTTCGGAATTAACACTTCCAAAACATTTAAGAGTTACTTTAGTTGTTGATCCTCCTTTTGTATATGCATTTAAAGGTAAATAGAGACTAAAAATATTTGGATATATAAAGTTGGATATCGACATCACTCTTCCTTATTACGTTCGTACAATTTGTCCCGCGGGTAACATTTTATCAAAATTCAACTGTTGTTAATATAAACTTCATTATTTTGGCATAACTTTGTTATATACATATGTATGTATGTAGTCTTATGACCTGTGCTGAGCATTTATCTGTTTGTAGCTCCATCTTCGACCAGAGCTAGACAAAGATATTCAATTTTATACATTTATAAAAAAAGGGGGATCCTTGAATAGAGGGATTCCTGCTGTATATCCATTTTTAATTTTTGTAGTTGACGAATATTCAAGATGTTCCAAGCTTCAATTTCTAAATAATCCAACAATAAATGTTGAAGGTTTTCAAGTAGTTAGTCAAATTATTTTTTTAAAAAGTATTTACTAAAATCAATTTTTAAAGTCAGGTCCTTGGTTTCCCTGTGAAAAATTAGAAAATAATAAAAAAGAATTTTATTGTTGTAGTGGAATGGCTGTAGAATTATTGTTTCTTATATCAGAAGGTTCTAAAAGAATTAATGGAGAAGAGAAAGAGGAAAAAGAAGAAGAAGAATTAATAGTAGCAGATAATAGCTTTAGTTTTGAATTAAAATTAAATGATTCTTATGGGGCTGTTTTGCTTGGGGAACAAGAAGGAGAAGGATTTAAATTAACTGGAATGGTTCTAAAATTAATTTAATTTAAAATATTTTCTTTAAAAAGATTGGAGAATTAGATGCAGACAGGGCAGATATGGCTATTGGGGTTTTGAAGAAAATTTTAAGAAAATAATTATTCTCATTTAAAGGCTTTAAGTATTAATCCAGAACGGGACCGTTTTATCGACTTTAGCGAGCCCTGGTTATATCATGGAATTCAAATACTTGAACGTTGGGTAATTAATTTAATAAATATTTAATTTAAATTTATTAAATTCTCAAAAAAATTAATTAATTTTCGCGGCCACAGCGTCCAAAACGTTCTCCAATGGAATCATTTTTACAACCTTTAAAGAATTCTTTATGGCTTTCTTTGGTTATTGCTGTGTTTTTAGTTGCTTTTGTTGTTTATTTTTTGGATTTAAAATCTCCATTTGAACGTTTTTATTCTTCTGGACAAGATCCTTTATTTGAAAAAGCAGAACAAGAAGAAAGGGTTTCTATTGGAGAAGTTTAGATTAACTAAAAAGAGTTTAAGTAGTTATTTTATTTTTAGTCTTTATGGTTTTCTTGGGGTGTTCTTTTAAATTCTGGTGTTTGTGAAAGTAAATAAAAATAAAATTAATATTTTATTTAAAAAATATTCTTTTAAAGAGACTCCGAGAAGTTTTAGTGCTCGAGTTTTGGGATTAGCTTGGTGTGGATTTTGCATGGTTAATAAAAAATAAATTAATTTATTTATATATTAATTTAAAAAAAGATAATGGTAGCCTCGTATACAGCTAATTTGGCTGCTTTTCTTGTTCTTGATCAACCAGAACGATCACTTTCCGGAGTTAATGATCCCAGGCTTCGTAACCCTTCTGCAAATTTCAGTTTAGCAACAATTACACATTCAGCTACTTATCAATATTTTAAAAGACACGTAGAGTTGTCTACAGTTTTTAGAAAAATGGAAGCAAATAATCAACCAAATGCCCGTTCTGCTATTCAGGCTTTGTTAAATGGGTAGAGGAGACTTTTATTATAATCATCTAAAAATTGAAATAATTACTCAGATAATTAATAGTAGTAGAGAATTTATGGTATGTTGTAATTTGACAAAAAGTATTGTCAATTGAAAGAATAATTTTTATTTTTTATTATTTTGAGTGTGTAAGGTCAGAAAACAAACGTTTTCTCACCTTAATTTCCATTTATTCCTTTTTAGTTCAATAAGCGCTTTTGTTTGGGATTCAGTACGTCTCGAATTTGAAGCAGCTAATAATTGTGAATTACGTACTCGTGGCGCTCTTTTTGGTCGTTCAGCATATGGAATTGGACTTAGAAAAGGAAGTGCTTGGACTCCACATATTAGTCAAGCAATTTTACGTTTATCAGAAAGTTTAAGAAAAAATAAAATATTTTCCCCCAAAAATTTATTTAAATTCAGATGGAACTTTAGAACGTTTAGAACAAAAATGGATACGTTCCCCAAATAAAAATTTCCGTCCCTGTTTTCATTTTGAACCAAAGGCCCCTGCACGTCTTGGACTTAGATCAATGAGAGATGGCCTTGTTCTTGTCGCCTCTGGTATTTTATTGGGTGCCGGAATGAGTATATTGGAAAGAAAAAGGGGGAAAAGTTTACAAAAACAAAAGTAAAAAAATCTAAAAAAATTTATTTTTAAAAATATTAAAAAAAGAAAAAGGCAACAATTAGCTCGTCAATATGCTGCAAAATGGTTAGAATTATCAAAGAGAAAAAGGGAAGGCACAGATTCATTATTATTGAGATTATCTGCTGCATTATGTGATGAAAAAAGAAAACAAAAAGAAGAAAGGATAAATAAAAATATTTTTATTAAAACAACGCCAATGTTTGTTCCAGAATTAAATTTTGGAACAAAACCATGCAATGTTTATTGCCCTCGTTGTATTAATCCAGAACGAGACCGTTTTATTGACTTTAGCGAGCCTTGGTTATATCATGGAATTCAAATACTTGAACGTTGGGTAATTAATTTAATAAATATTTAATTTAAATTATTAAATTCTCAAAAAAATTAATTAATTTTCGCGGCCACAGCGTCCAAAACGTTCTCCAATGGAATCATTTTTACAACCTTTAAAGAATTCTTTATGGCTTTCTTTGGTTATTGCTGTGTTTTTAGTTGCTTTTGTTGTTTATTTTTTGGATTTAAAATCTCCATTTGAACGTTTTTATTCTTCTGGACAAGATCCTTTATTTGAAAAAGCAGAACAAGAAGAAAGGGTTTCTATTGGAGAAGTTTAGATTAACTAAAAAGAGTTTAAGTAGTTATTTTATTTTTAGTCTTTATGGTTTTCTTGGGGTGTTCTTTTAAATTCTGGTGTTTGTGAAAGTAAATAAAAATAAAATTAATATTTTATTTAAAAAATATTCTTTTAAAGAGACTCCGAGAAGTTTTAGTGCTCGAGTTTTGGGATTAGCTTGGTGTGGATTTTGCATGGTTAATAAAAAATAAATTAATTTATTTATATATTAATTTAAAAAAAGATAATGGTAGCCTCGTATACAGCTAATTTGGCTGCTTTTCTTGTTCTCGATCAACCAGAACGTTCACTTTCTGGAGTTAATGATCCAAGGCTTCGTAACCCTTCTGCAAATTTCAGTTTAGCAACAATTACACATTCAGCTACTTATCAATATTTTAAAAGACATGTAGAGTTGTCGACAGTTTTTAGAAAAATGGAAGCAAATAATCAACCAAATGCCCGTTCTGCTATTCAGGCTTTGTTAAATGGGTAGAGGAGACTTATTGTAGTCACCTAAAGATTTAAATAATTACTCAAAGTAATTAATAGTAGTAGAGCATTTACGGCATAGTGTAATTAGACAAAAAGTATTGTCATTTGATAGTTCAAAATTTCCTACAGAGAAGTAATTTCCATTTATTCCTTTTTAGTTCAATAAGCGCTTTTGTTTGGGATTCAGTACGTCTCGAATTTGAAGCAGCTAATAATTGTGAATTACGTACTCGTGGCGCTCTTTTTGGTCGTTCAGCATATGGAATTGGACTTAGAAAAGGAAGTGCTTGGACTCCACATATTAGTCAAGCAATTTTACGTTTATCAGAAAGTTTAAGAAAAAATAAAATATTTTCCCCCAAAAATTTATTTAAATTCAGATGGAACTTTAGAACGTTTAGAACAAAAATGGATACGTTCCCCAAATAAAAATTTCCGTCCCTGTTTTCATTTTGAACCAAAAGCTCCTGCACGTCTTGGACTTAGATCAATGAGAGATGGTCTTGTTCTTGTCGCCTCTGGTATTTTATTGGGTGCCGGAATGAGTATATTGGAAAGAAAAAGAGGGAAAAGTTTACAAAAACAAAAGTAAAAAAAAAAAGAAATTTATTTTAAAATATTTTTAAAAGAAAAAGGCAACAATTAGCTCGTCAATATGCTGCAAAATGGTTAGAATTATCAAAGAGAAAAAGGGAAGGCACAGATTCATTATTATTGAGATTATCTGCTGCATTATGTGATGAAAAAAGAAAACAAAAAGAAGAAAGGATAAATAAAAATATTTTTATTAAAACAACGCCAATGTTTGTTCCAGAATTAAATTTTGGAACAAAACCATGCAATGTTTATTGCCCTCGTTGTCATGTATGTTAAATAATTTTTATTAAAAGAAATCGTTTTTTTCTTTAAAGCATTTTATTCAAACAATTACAAAACCAATTTTTGGCCGTTTTGCTTTAATATGTTCATTTATTTGTATTTTTTTACTTCTTTTCCCTTGTGCATTAGCTCCTATTTTCTTAACTTGTTTTGCAGATTATGAACATTTTTGTTCAAATGAAGAATGTAAACATAAAATTGGAAGGTATAGACGCTGTTTTAAACCAAAATTTTTTGTTTAATTTTCTAATTAATGTAAAATGTTTTCAAAAAAAATTCTCTTTATTTTTCACAAATTACAAAAATAAAATTTTTAAAATTTAACAAAATAAATAAAAAATTGAGAAAAATTACGACCGAATAATAACTCTGGGAACATCAAAATCTTCGGCATTCTAAAAAAAGAAAAATTAAGTATTTTAATTTAAATTTGATTATATTTGTTAGGGGATGATCAGAAAAATAAAAAAAGGGAGAATTAGGTACTCCCAAGGGGGCCAAAAATAACTTTTGTATTTTTATTCCAAATTTTCAAAAAAAAAAATAAAAATTATTTCTTACAATTTTGGCAAGATAAACATCAAAAACTTCGCCCATAATTTCTCTTGCAACAATCGGACCCGCATGAGTTTCAATAAACCAAAAAAGGAGAATCTTTAAATTTAAAAAAATCTTTAAATTAATTTTTAAAAATTACCCCATCATTAATAATTGATTTTTTGGCAAACAATTTAATTAATTTGTAATGAAGTTTATTAGAAGAATACATAATTTGATCAAAACGATTCTTAAAAAATAATTTTTAATTAAAAAAAAATATTTTTATTTAATTCTCTACCTGCTTTAACAAATGCCTGACAGTATTTTCTCTCGTAAAAGGAAGGCAGGCAAATGCAATTACATAATACAAAAAATTCAAAAAAGTTAAAATAGCCACAAACAAGAATCCCCACCTAAAATTTTAATTAAAAAATTATTTTTCTTTAAATTGTCCAACCAAATAAAAAGGTAAATCTTTTCATTGTATGTATTTATTCGAAGATGGCATTGAAGTGTGTAGCGAGTAGAACGTTCAACATCTCCCAAACGACGGATAGAGACATCACAAAGCGTTAAACGTGGAAATGTTGGGGAATCCTTTTAAAAAAATTTTTTTCAATTTTTAAAAATATCTTTTTTCTTTACCTGCCAATTTTTACCAGTAACTAAAGATCTCAAAACATCAAATCCCCACCAGCCATAATTGTGCCCAATAAAAAAGTTAAGAAGGCAAAATTGGACAAAGACGTTGAGCAAATATAATAATTTGATAAATATATACAAACACTTAAAATTAAAAAAAACATAATTTTTTTAAAAATATTCTAATAAATTAGCTATTTTTGTAAAAAAACGAAAAATTAAGATTTTAAAATGAATATTATTCTACTCTAATTTATTCCCCCTTTACCCCCACTTATTTGTTTTCCTCTTTCAATCCCCCTTTTTAACTGAAAAAATCACCAAAAATGAAATTAATTCGTGATTTAATTTAAATTAGAGCTGGAAACAATGAATTAAAAAATCTCTCACCGTAACAAAAGAACCAGAGCCGATAGAAAAAGCAGGAATTTTTGTCCGAAAATAATTTTTCCGATTTATAACAGTCTGAAAATTGAATTTAAAATAAAAAACACTAATAAAAACCTCTCCGATTCTTTCCCCCAAAGTTCTCAAAAGAGTTGGCCTTTCAGCATCATTTAACTTCATCTTCTTTAATCTGTTGCACTCTTTAAGAAATTTGATAAATTCGATACCTGTTAATTTAAGCGAATTGAATTTGAACATATACGAGAGAATAATGAGGGCACACAAAAATGGGAGAAACTTTTGGGGTCTCAAAGTAATAGAATTAAATCATTTACCGCTATGCTGGTGAAATCCATTCCATAAAAAGTTCGGCAACATAAAAAGCATTGATTGGAGGAATAACATGATAGGCACCCACTAAAATGAAAAAATAAAGATAAAATAAACTCCCGATAGAGCTTTATAAGTTAAAAAAATTTGTTCTAAAAATAATATTTTTCTAAACAAACATGATAGTATCCAATTTGACGTTCTCTTCGCCCCTCATTTGACCAAGGGATATTTTGCTCCGGCGGAACATAGTAGGTATTCTTTGACTGACAGTAATCTAAAGCAAATTCACGTTCATCATCATCCAAATCAGGCGTTTTCTTAATTTTAAATTAACTTTAAGCTTTTAAATAAAAACATACTAAACAACGCATTGGCTCCATACCAAAAGAACCAAAACTTAAAATATAAATACGATTAAATTTAACAACAAATTAACAAACATATTTGCAGTAACTGACATAACACAAAATAAAAGTAAAATAGGAACAATTTGACAATTAATTCTGTCGATGATATCCGAAAAATTTGCTTTAGGCCGTTCAAACCATGACAAAAATGTTTTGCCTAAAATATAAGTATAATAAAAATAAATTAATTTAAAACCTAAAAGGGGTTGATTCTGCCCAAAGAAAGGAAGATTGTGAACGCCATTTATAACAGTGCCTCTTAAAATAATTAAAATGAAAATTTTTTAACAATTAAAAGTAACTCACGAATTGGGCCAAGAAGAATTTGATGAATTCCAAGCACCACTACTATAAGACATTTTAAAGTTAAAGGTATTTCGAATAAATTTGGTTAAAAAATAAAAAATGTGTGAAGATAAAACCCAAAAAGAACTAAACAAAAAAGTTTCGATAAAAAATGAAAATTCAATTAAAAAAGTTCAACAATTCAACAAATACAATGAAAAAATAAAGGTATTCCGAATTGGCTAGTTTCGGATAAATTAACTTTATTTTCTTTAACTTAATTTACTTCCAAACAATTTTAACACAATAGGAACTTTTATTTCTTTTAATATAAACTAACAATTTATTTATTAACGATTAACTGGGAAACGGAAGAGCGAACTAAAGAAATAGGAATAAACTGAACAATAACTGATTAATGAAAGGAAGCTAATAAAGAACTTGAACGGTTTGTATTGAAAGGGACGCGATATTTATAGAGAAGTGATTAGTAATTGTTTGATAAATTATAGGGAAAGGAAATTGGCTTTTCCCAGATAAATAGGCTGGGAACGATTGAAAATATAAATAAAATTATAAATAAATTACAAAAGCTTGAGAATTATGTTTCGCATTTCGAAAATGCGACAAAGGTATCTCACTTCATCGGAACGCGATCATTGAGTCCCGCCGTTTGAGTCCCGCCGATTGAGTCCCGCCGGTTGAGTCCCGCCGGTTGAGTCCCTGGCCGGTTGAGTCCCGGCCGATTGAGTCCCGCCGGTTGAGTCCCCACCCAAAAGGGGACGTTTGAGTCCCCGTATTTCTTTCTAGGATCTTGATGTATTAAGTGGGATATATGGAGTTTTGAATTGATATAAGAGTATTTGGGGAGATTTTGAGTGATAATGATAAATATGGAGGGATTTAAAGCGATTTGGAGTGATTAAAGTGGATATATGACGGATTTTCAAGACGGAATTATTGCGGGTATGGTACCACTTTGGGGTACATTATATATGAATATAAGGCTGTACTGTAGTGTAGCACCCACTCCAAAAATTTTCAAAACACATATCGTTTGATTCGTCTCGGCGAGCTGAGTCGAATGGTACCACTCTCTTTCTGCGGAAATTCCTACGAGCTGAGATATAGGTCCTTAAATATCGGAAATCCAAAGAGGGGACCAAGCTGATTTTTGGGGTCAAAAATTTGAATATGCAAATGACAGCTCATTCGAAAGAGCTCGTCGAGCTGAGTCGATTGACACAAAAATTAACGAAATCCGACTTGATTTGACAAAGTTATGAGTATTTGTTTTAGCTCCTTACCTTTGGTCTAAGTGCAGGTTTTTCTTGCTAAGGAGGAAGCCAGACATGCCGACCGCAGCTAAAATAGGCATAAGTTTATGTTACGAGCCCAGACCCAGCGCCCGTAGACTCCCCGCGAGGCGCGTGCCGCAAAACTCCGCGCGAAGCGCGGAGTTTTGCACAAGCGCCTCGCCGACGCCCCATAGGTTTATGTTGCGATTTATTGTCGTAACTTTGTCTAATCTTGTTCAATCATGGTGATTTTGGTGTCATTCGACTCAGCTCGACGAGCTCTTTCGAATGAGCTATCATTTGCATATTCGAATTTTTGCCCCCAAAAATCAGCTTGGTACCCCCTATGGCTTTTGACCCTTTCGAGCTCTATATCTCAGCTCTTAGGCATTTCCGCAGAAAGAGAGTGGTACCATTCAACTCAGCTCGCCGAGACAAATCGAATGGTATGTGTTTTGAAATTTTTTGGAGTGGGTGCTACACTACAGTATATCCGAATATAATGATGGATTATAGGTACCTACCAAAATATCTGGTACTACCCCCAAATTGGTAACATACCTGTAATACTTCCATCCTGGGAATCATACGTAAACTTGGTGCCTTTATTTAACAAGTCCTAGTTGGGGGATATAATCTATAATCCCTCATATTCCTGTACAATGTACCACAAAGTGGTAACATATCCGCAATAGACCCGTACTGGGAATCATACATACTTGTGTAAATCCTAGAAAGAAATACGGGGACTCAAACGTCCCCTTTTGGGTGGGGACTCAACCGGCGGGACTCAATCGGCCGGGACTCAACCGGCCAGGGACTCAATCGGCGGGACTCAATCGGCGGGACTCAAACGGCGGGACTCAATGGTCCCCTACCGTCACTTCATATTTTAAATGTCAGCCATAAAAATTCACTTTGGCATTAAAATAAACCTTGGCATTATGTTGAATTTTTTGGCGCGAAAAGTTTGGCGCGACCGATCTGGCGCTAGGATAGCTTGGCGCAAGGTCGCAGAATTTGTACCACCCGAATTGTATTTTTTACAGTTTCTTGGAAGTAGTATGGTTCTACTTGTCGCCACGCGATTCTATCAATTTTTCATTTTCGCTTTGCCATATTCTTTTTTATTTTTGAAGTAATTTTATAATTTAGATTTGTTTTTATTTTGTCGTTGAATAATGGGGAAATTGTCGGAGAGTACACAAGCTGAAGAAGTACCAGAAAATGGTGCAAATATTGAGATCATGAAAGAACCTGTAACAGAAAAAGAGGAATATCTATCTCTTTGTCAACTTGTCAATCCAATTTCACAACCTCTAGCGTCTAGAAAATTGGCTAAAAAACTTTATAAGTTGGTGAAGAAATCAGCTAAAGAAAAGGGATCTTTACGGCACGGTCTTTCTGATGTTATGAAGGCTATTAGAAGGAATGAGAAGGGGATACTTATACTTGCAGGTTATTTTTAAAATTTTGAATTCACATCTTTTTCATATTATGGCTGACATTATTTATTGTAAAAAGATTAACTTAATGTCTGACCATTATGAGCCATTAAGTTTGACTATTAATTTTTCTGTTTATTCGGGAATATTAATTTATCTGTCCCTTAAAATTCCCATTACATTTTTTAAATGAATAATAAATTTTTCCAAAAAAGGTTCACTGTGTACTCTCTTTTTAATTTTCTTGAATTTTATCCAATGGGATTACTCTCATATTCGATTTTAACTCTAATTTAAATTTTTCAAGGAAATGTTTCGCCAATTGATGTATACAGTCACATTCCAGCACTTTGTGAGGAAAAGGTTAACTAAAATCTAAAAAAATTATTTGTCTATATTTATTTGTTAATTATCACATTTCTAGGAAATTCCGTATGTTTTTACACCTTCCAGAGAGCATTTGGGACTCTGTGCAGGCAATTTTAATTTTTAAAGATAATTTTTCAATATTTTTTCAGGGTACAAGCGTCCAGCAATTGTTTTAATGGTTAAGAAGCATGAATCTTACAGTGAACTTTATGACGATGTTTATTCTCTTGTTAATTCTCTCGTAGTTGAGCCAGTAAATTCATGAATTTTTTTATTGTTTTGTTTTTGAAATAAATTGTTTTTGTTTTTTAAATTGTTAATTTTATGCTGCCCTAATCCATTGAAATATTTTTAATTAGTTTATTAAATATTTACTAATCGTTAAGACTTGAGCTTAGTTATGCGCGAACCAGATGATAGTTCTGAATCTATTGTGAGTTTTGGTTATATATTGCTCGATGATTTTTTCTTTTTAGCGTGGTCGTAGCGGGCTTGTTGTCCAGATACCTGAAGAACCTTCTGAGCTGGTTTCAGTGAAGGTTTTTATTAAGACCGTAAGTATTTACTCTGCCTTTATTTTTTTAGCGAATATAAAGATTTAATTTTTAATTTTATATTTCAGTCCAATTGTCCAAAACGTGTTGAACTTTGTAGTGGTTGTTCGAATAAAATAAAACAATTCCTTTGCGGAGAATCTTTAGACAATGATCCTAATGATGAACTTAATGTGGCATTGCGTAATTCGGATCAAAATCATGTCAATGAACGAGTAACTACTAATTCAACTGTGGAAGGAGTAAATGGAGTTTTAAACGGGACTGATTCTTTGAAGGATAACAACAATGAACAGAATTCTATTTCGGACATAAATTCTAATGAAGTTGTTAATGAAACTCAAGGTTTGTTTACAATAATTTTTATTTATTCTAAATTAACAGAATTTACTAATTGTGATGGTTGTTTGGTTTCTGATGTAGAAGTAGACTCAATAAATAATGGTTCTGTTGAACTCGAAACGGAAAAGAATAATTTGTTAGAAGAAATTGACCTTGCAAATTCACCTATTCAAATAACAACATGTGTTCCACCAGCTCTTTCAATGAATGAGATCAATATTGAACATCAGAAAAATCCAAATAATGAAATTAATATTGATTATGGACACTCTACTTCTATGGAGATTGATAAAATTTTGGACAAAGATGGTGGTGTTAGTGAAATTATTTCAAATAATTTAATGAAGGATATAAGCATTGACGGAGCCTTTGAAAATCTTAACTCTGCAATAAGTACCATTAAAGAGCAACAAATAAAAATAAATAATGCGGCTGATGAAGAAGCGATAGAGAAGTGTGGAATGGGGAATTGCGAAGTGATAATTAAAAATTCTGATTTTGATCGGCTTGCAAAAATTATCGAGAGTGTAAGTAATTTTATTCGATTTATAATATTTTCAACATCAGACTAGTTAATCTTTTGCATTTTTACTGTCAAAAATTTTTTAATTTAGAGTCAAAGGCGAAAGAACATTATTAATAGCTCTGTAGAGGATGACGACATCAACGCCGAGTTGGACAGGCAAATAAGGAAGGTGGATAATCTTCTACGTGGAGGAAATCGTAAATCAAGGAAGAATGCTATCCCTTCCCCTAAAGTTTATGATACTGAATGTGAGGATAGTGAGCACGTAAATGATGAGAACGAAAATCAATCTAGTGCTGGTTCGACTGTATCAGATTCTCAGAAACCAAAAAATTCTGTTCTAAGAAAGCGTGTAAGTATTTACAAATAATCTAAAGTAAAATATTTTGTAATTTAGAATTTGAGATCACTCCTTGCTAAACAATCAAAAAATTCGAGCGAAAATGGAAGCAATGCAAGTAGTGATTGGCTTTCAAAGAATAATGCTGAAAAAAGTGAGGCTTCTACTGAGAGTCCTGACGAAAGTGATTCTGACACAGATGATACTTTTGTTGAAGCACCGAAGTTGACGCCAGCTCAGCGACAGACTGACGCAGTTAGTTTTAAATGCGAATTTATATTTTTTCAAGTTCTCGAGTAAACTTGATTTTAATTTTTCTACTTAAGGAAGTGAGACGTTTACTTCGTGATACTCGCGTTAAAATTTCTGATAGTGATGATTCTGATGCTACTGTAATAAAAACTGATGGGGATGATTCTGATAGCGACTCAGAAAGAAAGAATCGAAGAGCTAAATCCAAAAGGTAAATTTTACTTCCTTTATCGTTATAATCAAAAAACTTATTATTATAGACTGAAACTCAAGGATCCTAATTCTGATGAAAATGACGTTTCAAATAAACCGTCCTCTTCTAAAATAATTTCACCAGACGAACCAAAAAAACGAATGACTGCCAAAAAAGTTAAATAAATTTTGACTATAATAATTTAAAAATTTACATTTCAGTCTCATATAGGCAAAAATCGCAAAGGCACAAATTTGGACGGTCCAAATAGGAAGAAAAGGCGGATTATTTATTCTGACGATGATGGAGATGTTCATTCATTAGATGGAGACGAAAATAATAAAATTAGTGATGAGGAGAATTTTCAAAAACAAGTAGGCCGAAGGAAAGTTATTCCGAAGGAAAAATTGGCTCAAGCGACTAAAGACGCGGAGAAAGCTGAAAAGGAGCGACGAAAGCGGTTAGAGGAGAAACAGCGCGAGTTCAATGGGATTGAAATGATCATTGATGAGTCTGGCAATACATCTCTAATCAGTATAGTTATTTTATATTCTTATAATTAGGATGGAGAGAAAATTTTTTGAAAATTGAACGACCATCAAAAATTTAATTTTAAACTTAAAGATGAACAATCTGTTCCCAAATTGAAAAATATCATTTTGGACCGAGACAGTGAGAGTAATGCTCCAGTTCCCGTTCGAGTACATCCATTTCTCGTCAAAGTGTTGAAGAAACATCAGGCTGAAGGGATTCAATTCCTCTATAATTGTACAATAGAATCACTTTCTAGATTGGATGAACCTGGTGGTGGAGGTAAAAGAATTTTTTACTACTTTAATTTTTATTTTTAAATTTATAGCAATACTTGGTCATTGTATGGGTCTCGGAAAAACTTTGCAAATTATTGCGTTTCTTCACACTATTTTGACACATGAAAAAATTTCAAAGAAAATTAATAAAGTTTTGGTAGTGGTTCCTAAAAATGTTGTTTTAAATTGGATGAATGAATTTGAAAAATGGCTTTATGGAGAGACTGATTCGATTAATGTATGTTTTCATTTATTTGAACAAACCATTAATGAGTTTTCGCTTTTTGATAACGAGCTCGCTTATTAATTTTCATAAACTTCAAGAAAAGAACTCAATTCTTTTACTATTCTGTGGAAGAAATTCTTAAAATTAGTAGTAATTGCCTGCGTTAATTAATCTATTCGAAAGACAAAACATTTTTTAGGATTTGACACGTTAACTTTTTAATTATTTTAAAGATAGGAGATCTTTTTTTAATATTTTATGTAAAATGAGATTTTTAAATGCAACTTGCATTAAATTAATTTTTAATATTTTCATTTTTGTCAGTATTCGGAATTAGACTCTTGGAGGACTCATGAAGAACGTCTCAAAGCAATTAAACGTTGGATTAATTATGAAGGACCATCAGTGCTTATAATTGGTTATGAATTATTTAGAATTCTAACTTTTACTGATGAGGATAAGGCTAATATGAGTAAAAATCGCAGGAAGAATATACCTTTGAAGAAGAAATTGCCAGCTGCTAAAAAATTGGATAAGCTTAGACCACAGTTTTGCGAATATCTACAAAATGGTGAGAAGATCTACTTTTATATAAATATTTTTATTTAGCTCCACATTTACTTGTTTGTGATGAAGGCCATAAACTCAAATCACCTTCAACTGCGCTTTTCTATACAATTGACAAAATAAAAACGCTGAGGCGAATTTGTATGACTGGAACACCCCTTCAGAATAATTTAGAAGAGTATTATTGGTTTGTTTTAAAATTATCTATAAAAATAGATTTTCTTTTAACTTACATTAAACTGCCTTATTGTAATTTAGTACTAATAGAATTACAAAATAGGGGTTGCAATGATTATCAAATTGTGTTTAGGACGTTCCCGTGAACTGTTCATGAAGAATTTAAACACCTTAATAAAAAATTTTGTTTCATATTTATTCTTTTATTAATATTTAAAATTTAAGTATGGTCAACTTTGTAAAGCCAGATCTTCTTGGTAGTCTTGACGAATTTAAAAGCCGTTTTTCTAATATAATAAAATGTGGAAGATCAAAAGATGCAAGTGCTTACGATGTTCGTCGAATGCGTAGAAGATGCCATGTGCTTTTTGATCGACTTAAATGTGTATTAGATTGGCGGGATTATAGTGTTTTGAGGTTGTTTTGTGAATATTTCTACTTTTATTTGATTTTTAAAAGGAGTTCTCTACCTCCAAAACAAGAATATGTTATAAATATTCGCCTAACTAAAGTTTGTTTTATCAATTTAAATAAAATATTTTATTAAGGTCCAAATTGATTTGTATAAAAAATATTTGGATTTTCGAAATTTAACTGAGGAAAAACGTGGAGCAAATGATGTTGGTGTGAGACTTCTTTATGATCATTTGATGTTTGTTTTTCTAATTTTTTTAAATACTTAAACCTAGCATTTTTCCCTTCTTTTTTTAAAAATATAAAGGGGTTTTTAGGGTTGGAAGGATAGAATTAAAGTTAACAGCTGAACAATAATGAAAAATTTTTGATTTTTAATAATTTATAATTAAGTCTTTATCGCGTTTGGACGCATCCATACCTTTTGGTAGAACATGTGAAACGTGAACAATATAAATCTCAAAATTCTATTGATGACTTCATTGATGATGACTATGATTCAGAGGCAGAAAGTAATGATTCTGATGATATTGTCGCTATGTAAAATTAATTTTAAATGTTTATGTAGCAATTATTTTATTTTTCAGGGATGCATTAAATGATAATCCCTCTACCTCTTCTGCTAACAATAAAAATAACGAGTTTGAAAATCCTTTAGAAAATTGGGCAAAAGATTTAGTTTCTGAAAAGGATCGAAATAATTTTGCTTTGAGCAACAAATTACTACTACTTATTGAAATTATTAAAAAATGTGAAAAGATTGGAGATAAATTGTAAATTTTAAAGAAATTAATCATGATTAACTTGGAATTTAGAAAGAGCCTAGACTACATATCAAAATGGGCTAAAAATATAATAGTTTTTCGAAAAATATTTTTAATTAACAACTTGGTGTAAAGCATTTCAAAACTTATTTTCAATCCCACCAAAAAAGCCTAAAATGATTGAATGTGGCCTGTAAATTATTAAATTTATTTCTTTTCAGACTTGTTTTCTCTCAATTTTTGAGTTCTATTGCTCTTATGGAACGAATGCTAAGATATTTTACTCAAAGTTCTGGATGGTTTGTGGATGGACATCGAGCTTTAATGATGGCAGATGGGGAAAAGTGGGGATGGCATAAAGGCTTAGATTATTCGGTTATTGATGGAAGTGTTTCTATTGTTTTACGTGATCAAATTCAAAAGGATTTTAATGATCCTTTAAATTTAAGGTTAAATTATAAATACAATTTAATTAAATATTAAATTATAGAAATCGTCTTTTGCTTATTTCTACAAAAGCAGGTTCTTTGGGTACTAATTTGATTGGTGCAAATAGAGTTGTTATTTTTGATTGTATGAAATTTATTTTATTTATTTTAAAAATTTAAAAAATTTTTAGGTTCTTGGAATCCATCTCACGATACCCAGAGTTTGTTTAGAGTTTATCGATTTGGACAAGTTAAGCCTGTTTATATATACAGATTTGTTGCTCAGGTTGTAATTTACTTTTGTTTTTAAATTATTTTTTTTCCAATTGTTAGGGAACGATGGAGGAACGTATTTATAATCGACAAGTAACCAAAGAATCAATAGCAAAACGAGTTACTCAAGCTGCCCAAATCCAAAGACATTACACGAGTCAAGAATTAGAAGAAATGTATCTCTTTGAACCAGATACTCTTTCAAATGATAAACTTGATGGGCAAGGACCTCGATTAGACCCTCCAAAAGTTTTTTTCCAAATTTTTTGTAATAAAATGTTTTCTTTTGAGGATCGTCTTTTGGGTGATATTATTTTGGAGAAAACGGATGCAATTGTTAGTTATCATCCACACGACATATTATTCGACGAATTGGAGGATGAAAGACTTAATGACGAGGTATTTATTAAACTTAAATTATCTAAGGGGGGCACTTAACAATTGAATAAAATGTTAATCAATTAAGGAACGGGCCGAGGCTTGGAAAGATTATGAACAAGAACGTGAGGGACGTGCTGCTCGACAACAGCCTAATATAAATGGTGGTTTGAATCCTCAACAGATTCAAATACTCGACAGTTTACAACAGCAATTTCCTGGTCAACCTTTTGGAAGAGGTTAGTTTTTATTAAAAGTTTTACTACCTTCACAATAATTTTTAAAGATTTGCGCATTCTTTTCAATTACTTCCCACATGATGGTGTCTTTAATAAATGCTTAGCTGTGCCAGGAATAACGCGCGATACGGCTTTGCATATATTTCGAATTAAGGCTTTTCTTGGATATTTTATCTATCAAATACCTCAAAATTTGGCTGGTGATGTTAACAACGCTGATAAAGTTAACAGAGTTTTTCTGGGTATTTTGGATGTAAGTCTTTTTTTTCTTGTAATTTTTAATTCGACAAATATGTATAACAAACTCATTAATTTACACCACACTTTTTTATTAGAATGCGTTGCAAAACAATGAGAGCGCACAAACTGTATATCAAAAAGCATTGTTTGCTTTAAGAACAACAGTCAAACTAGTTCGGAATGTGCCTCAATGTTCTATTGGACTTGCCTATGCTGCTGGATTATTTCCAGATTTGAATATTGAAGAAAATACAACCAATGGCTAATAATTTTGATATTTTTATTATATTTTTGAAAGTTTTATTTTTTATGTTTGTAAATTTCGCATAGTACTTTATGTAGACGAGTTTATTGCAAATTGATTCCCTCATTACCTTGACACTTTTGGACATTGATCTTTTATTGATAAACATTCATCTTAAATTCTTTTGGTTTTGCATTGGTTATATGTCCATTGTTATTTTCTGATTAATTTTTGTTCTGATTCTTATTTAGAGTAGCTTTTCTGATTAGCATGAAGCCTTTCCTGTGCTCTTCTCCTTTACAAATAGATAGTGATGACAATGACATAATTGTAGATTACGAAGAAGCGGGTAGTGATAGGTATGTATTTTTTTGTTTCTTTAGATCTTTCCTACACAAATGAATTTTCATCGCATATTTTGTTTTTTAAGGAAATGTGTTGTTCTTTCTGACGACGAGTGCAAGGTCAATTCAAATGGAAATTTTCCTTCTACCTCATTAAAAAAGGTTTGTATTTATGTTGTCAATTTTATTTTTTGTTCAGGATGAGGTGAATGGTTTAGTTTGCGAACCTAGAACAAAAAAGAAGGCAGATATTATTTGTATTGATGACGATGATCTTCTTAAACTTAGTGACGATGATGATTTGCCTGAATATACTGGTAAACACAATATTCCTCTTGTTAGACTGGCACAAGAAACGTTGGATGCTGAGAAATCTGAGAGGGAAAGACGAAAACGATTGGAAGAATCTAAAAGTGTTTTTAATGGTATTGAATTAAATACTGACGATTCGGGATGTAGCACCTTTGAATGTACAGGTATGTTTTTAAATAATTTTTGCTCGCCTTTTAAAAAGTTTTTCTGTTTTAATATTTATATTATAAGATGAACACGGAAATCCAACGTTAAAAAGTGTAATTTTGGACCGAGATAGTGAGAGTGAAGCTCCAATTCCCGTTCGAGTACATCCATTTCTCGTCAAAGTGTTGAAGAAACATCAGGCTGAAGGAATTCAATTCCTCTATAATTGTACAATAGAATCACTTTCTCGATTGGATGAACCTGGTGGTGGAGGTAAAAGAATTTTTTACTACTTTAATTTTTTATTTTATAAATCTATAGCAATACTTGGTCATTGTATGGGTCTCGGAAAAACTTTGCAAATTATTGCGTTTCTTCACACTATTTTGACGCATGAAAAAATTTCAAAGAAAATCAATAAAGTTTTGGTAGTTGTTCCTAAAAATGTTGTTTTAAATTGGATGAATGAATTTGAAAAATGGCTTTATGGAGAGACTGATTCGATTAATGTATGTTTTTGTGTAATTAATTTAGTATTTTTATTTTTGTTAGTATTTGGAATTAGATTCTTGGAAGACTCATGAGGAACGTCTTAAAACAGTTAAACGTTGGATTAATTATGAAAGACCTGCTGTGCTTATAATTGGTTATGAACTATTTAGAATTCTAACTTTTACTGATGAGGATAAGGCTAATATGAATAGGAATCGAAGGAAGAATCTACCCTTGAAGAGGAAATTATTGACTTTAAATGAAGAAAAGTTAGCAAAGCTTCGGCCGCAGTTTTGTGAATATCTACAGAATGGTAAGTACTTTTGTGGGAAAAAGTGATGTCCGCTAACCTAAATTTTGGCTTTTGTTAAGTAAAGCCGTGCTGGGCTATTTATTTCATTTAGTGTAAAATGTTATTCGACGTCTGAGAACGAACCAGCATCAGTTGACCAGACTGATTTGGTATCCATTATACCACGCAGCCTCCTGCACGTCCTTAGGAATTAAATGCTATACTTTACGATGTAGTTTTGTTAATTTAATTAATTTGGCGCATAATTATTTTTTATCGGTTTTAACTAAAAAATTTTTGGTCTAATTGTTGCAAATTTTCAATATGAATAATTTATATATATTTTTGTCATACTATTAAATCGTCAAATATCGGTTTATTATTTGCCAAATTAAAAATCTTAATTGGTGAATAACAACCTAGCAAATCAAAATCCAAAATTCATGTGTAGCGGACATTACTTTTGCACACATTTTTATATTTTTCTAGCTCCACATTTAATTGTTTGTGATGAAGGCCATAAACTCAAATCACCTTCAACAGGGCTTTTCCATACAATTAATAGAATAAAAACGAAGAGAAGAATTTGTATGACTGGAACACCTCTACAGAATAATTTAGAAGAGTATTATTGGTTTGTATTGAATTTACCTTATTTCAGTAAATAAAACCGTACCCTGAATAGGAACCCCACCCTGAAATATAGCCCTTGGATAGTTGAAAAATTGAGCCTCATGGGGGCTTTTTTTCGGAACTATGTTTTCTATAAATACATTTTTTTTCTACTCTTACGAACTGCCTTTTATTCATTCAGACTACTCAAAAAATCTTTAAAGGGAGAAAAATAAGACGGAGCACACCTTAATATGTTCTATATCTTTTTCTACATTTATTCTTAATTAATATTTAAAATTTAAGTATGGTCAACTTTGTAAGGCCAAATCTTCTTGGTAGTCTTGATGAATTTAAAAGCCGTTTTTCTAATATAATAAAATGTGGAAGGGCAAAAGATGCAAGTGCTTACGATGTTCGTCGCATGCGTAGAAGATGTCATGTACTTTTTGATCGACTTAAATGTGTCTTGGATTGGCGGGATTATAGTGTTTTGAGGTTGTTTTGTAAATATTTCTACTTTTATTTGATTTTTAAAAGGAATTCTCTTCCTCCAAAACAAGAATACGTTATAAATATTCGCCTAACTAAAGTTTATTTAATTTATAAATTTAAATAAAGTATTTTAAAGGTCCAAATTGATTTGTATAAAAAATATTTGGATTTTCGAAATTTAATCGAGGAAAGACGTTGTGCAAGCGGTGAAGTCGGTATTAGACTTCTTTATGATCATTTGATGTTTGTTTTTAATTTTTTCCCTAGTATTTTATCCTTTTTTAAAAAATAGAAATGGTTTTTTGGAGTTGGAAGGATAAAATAAAAATTTAGCAACTAAACAATAATGAAAAATTGTTAATTGTTACTTAATAAGTTAATAATTTAAGTCTTTATCGTGTTTGGACGCATCCATATCTTTTGGTAGAAAAAATGAAACTTGAGCAAAATAAATCTTCTCAAACTGCAATTGATGATTTTATTGTTGATGATTATGTATCTGACACAGAAAGTAGTG